CAATAATCAACAAATAAATTACTCTTATAATAATATTTCATAAACTATATGATTAAAAAGTAAAAGAAATTTAACAATGGATCTCTATATTAAATTGTACTAATATCTGGAATTTTTACATTCTATATATTTCTCGTAACTGATGTTCATTCATACCTAATATTATTGATATTTTTAGTGAATTATTAATTTATGCACTTCATTGCTCAATTATCTAAACACTTCTTATTGCATAGTTTCATAGGTGTTATGATGGTTATTTCAGCATTTATATTTCTTAAATTATTGACCTATTTCTGACTATTGATTTGTAACACTGATCATATATTCATGAAAATTTTACGATACATTGAAATATGAAATTTTCATTTACAATCATATCTGTTTTGTCAGAAGGGTTTTTTTGTGAAGATTGTAGTAATTTAAAAGTTGCGTTCATGAGTCAATTAAAGCTAAATCACAATGTAAAACCTGGAAACATTGAGCGGCCTTGTATGAGACTCCTCAGTAGTGCGCACTCACGATCAAATGCTCACTAGTGACTGGTTTCAAGATGCTTTTCCTGGATTTCTAGTGAGAATCCGTCACCAGTGGAGTTCAACCGTGTCTGTTGTGGGGCAGTGACTCGCTGAAGACAATGGAGGATGGTGGTGGAATTTCCTGGATTGGTTGAAGTTAAACATTAACACCATTTGTTTCCGGATCAGTGGTTTAGAGATTAAGCGCTTGCGCGAGACCGAAGGTGCTGGGTTCGAATCGTGAGAGAGTGATCGTGGATGAAAATTGCCGAGGAGTCTCATACAGGGACGAAACCTCCGTCCAGTACTTCCAGGTTTTCCATGGTGATTTAGCTTTAATAGACTCATAAACTCAACCATTAAATCTGTTTGTTATGAGATGTCACCATAAATAGTTGTCAATTAAAATTTATTTCATAAGTTAGTTAGATGCTTTTATTATGAATAAATTATTTACTCTAAACGTACACGACATAATGTTCAATTTATCTGAGACAGAAAGTGCCTTGCAGGTTTTATTTGACAGATAATATATGGACACACTTCGTTAACTGGACACTTAAGTACATAATGAATTGTTTGTTCCGTGAGTGGTCAAATAATGATCAATAGTGTAGAAATAATAAGTAGATTCGTTGATTCAACATTTCATATTCAAATGACAAGTATAGATTGTGGAAAAATCTATACCTTTCAGTCTAGATCATTATCAAGGCATAATAATTAATAATTCTATGTACTGATGAGCGATTAAATTTTAAAACACTAAACACTTATAACTATAAGGTGAATCTTCACTCATAATTAAGAAAAACCTAATAGCTTTTATTACTCAAGTAAAACTGAATTCTATTGCGATGTTAAAATTCATTTTAACATTCTATTCTGGCTACTATTAATGAAATAATTAATTTTTATCATAATTTTTTGAATACTCTAAGCTTAAATGAACTCACAATTTTTAAGGAATAAATAGTACAACGAAATGTTGATGAAAAAGTGGTAATTGAATTCAACACTTTCACGTGTCCTCGAAAATAACTCAAAAAAGTGTTATAACTTGTGGCCTGTGTGCCCAGTTAATGTATAACGTAACGATACCACTAATTAGAGAGCAGTGAATTATCGATCGGACAAATGCTCATAAAACATGTATGAGCAGTCTAGAGTACTTATCGGTCCCTGGTTAAAGTATCTAAGCACAATCTAAAAGGTTCCTCTTCCGAATTTCAGGTAAATAAAAGTTTTATGAATCATTGAATACATTTGCAGCATATTATTCAAAGTTATAGTAAAAAAGGTAGTACTGTTTATACAGACTAGTGAATAAAATTAAGGGTAAAATAATGATATGAAAGAAGCTCCACCTTCTAAAGCCTCATTGTTGCTCAAACAGACTATTTACCTCCGATCGTTCTCAAGGGTGAAGGCGGGAAACTAATTGATATCTTTCACGAAGATATAAGGAACTGTCCGTTTTATCATTATTCTAGTACGGATAAAATTGTCATACCTGAGTAATATATGTAATAGTTATTCATTTATGAGTCTATTAACAGTCACATCTCATATGGTCGCTTTAGCCATATTTCACAGGCTGAGTAAACCTCACGAAGTGTTGGGTTACAATCAGGTGTTCGGTTTTCATCCAAATCTTTATGCTCCACTAAGTGCTTAGAAGTTTTTTCACGTATCTCAAACGAAAATTATTATGATATTTCAGAAAGGTAATTTTTTCGGTTCGTTGGCAGAACTTCCCTCTGAGATTGCATGTTAAACAAAGATAGTTTGTAAATAGTTACTATGCTTGTATATGAAAATCGGTTATAGTGGGTGCATGTTTATTGGTACACCATAACTCTCTAGATGGGCGCTCAGGAATTATAAATTCCAGTGGTTTGTCAGACAACACTAAAGGAAGAAGCTATTGGCCATCATGCCAAAGTTTTCTTTCTATGTTCTTCATGAACAATAAGATTCATGTTCTAACAGGAAAAAAGTTAGTTTTGTTTTTATACAAACTGCATGACAGAATATTTACTATTCGGGTTTATTATTCATTCATTTATTGGTTAGATTACCCGTCCGGTTCTTATTCTTGATAATTTTGTGTACCACATATGCTTCCATACGATCATACAAATAAAAATAACAATAAGATATACAACATTGAACTTCGTAGTTAGTTATATAATATCCCCTTGTGGGCCAGTGTAATTTTACCTTGGTTTTTAGGAGAACCAGACACCATCCAGACTTTCACATGATAACCAAAACAGCACAGCTCAATCTCGTTTAACAGGAGAACCAGACACCACATAGGCTTTAACGGTACAATCTGAACAGTACAGCTCAATCCTGTGGCGCAACCACACAGGTACCAAGCACCCTGGTGGACCAAACATTGAACTTAGTACAACATATTATTTCAACAAAAGAGAGATTAGAGTAAGCCAATAGATTTCCTAGACCTACTGAACTACTTATGATAGATCTTCTAGTATCAAAAGTTTGTCATTATTACATTCCTTCAACAGAAATTATTTTACATACTCAATATCTTGTATACTTAAACGGTGACAAAAATATCTTTATTTTCTTTTCTTTTAATTAATTGACAAAAATAATTATAAGTAAAGTAAGTTTAATCCAAGATTTGACACAGAAATGTGGGCATTCACCTTGTTCACTTCAATTATTCTAATAACACACAGCAGGTATTTATTTATTGATAATCTACGTAAAACATTCCATTTTTAAAACAGACAAATATCTGAAATAATATTGATTGAAATCTATTACAGAAATGAAGCCACCTCTGTTTTTTTAAAAATAGTTATTAACGGATTATAAATGTTCTTATGTGATTAAACATAATCTTTCATAGTTTTAATATAGAATACAACAACTAATTTCTATTATGTTCATAACTATTCACTTATTCATTTGTAGAGCTAGGTATATAGGTCGTTCGATGCGTACTTTATCCAAAAGAATTCAAGAACATTATCCGAGGTGGATAAAAAGAGGAGGCAACGGCTCAATAAGTTCTATAATCAAACACCTTGTGAACACAGGTCACTCAATCAAGACAGACTCTACAAGGTAAGTCGAAGTCTTCCTAAGGCAATCAGACTGTATCTTCTTTGCATTGCCGAAGCAATAACCATACATCTGGAAAAACTAGAATTGTGTGTGCAAAAGAGACTGGTAAAACCTCTTCTTCTACCATGGTCTTAATGTATTAAAATTTTTCTCTCTTTTTCATACTCTTGTTCCTTTACAGCTATCTGCTTCACCTTCCATCTTCCTCTTAAATCTTCTACCCCCAACTAGTTTGTTTTTATTTCCATGATCATTCCGATTACATTTCAACTCAATCTCAACATTTCATCTTATCATACTGAGCCATCCTTTCCCAATGATAATTTCCCTATTTGTCTTTTGATGAATACTTAAGCCATTAACAATCAAACGATTATTAAACTTTACTTGTTTTAAAATTTTTTTAATACCTTTGTTTATTTAACTTCACTATCACCATGTATAACAAGTTTATTATCAGTACTATTATCTTCCTGTTAAAATACGTATATATATTTGCGATTATACAGCTTTGAAAATGAATTCGCCGAAAAGAGAACTCTTCGCTGAACTAATTTTTCTTGTTTAATGTCTTAACGGGTGTATTCCGTATATTCACTTATTGACGAATGGATCTGTTTATCAGGAAGAATTTGATAATTAAGAGGTCACTTAACTATTTACCTAATGTATAAACCGAACTGCAATGTTTAAACACTTCAACTGTTCTCATAACGAACTTCAAAGTAACTACAAAACTATAGTCTATATCACCAACGATATTACAACTATATTTTTGAATGCTTAGAACGTAGTTTGAATTGGAGATTTAGCCCCTTTTTGAAGCTGTTTATCATTCTTTTGCAGTCCATTAGTTAAAATAGGCTTAGCCAAAAATTCGATGAAATTCATCCCAAAAGTATCTACTACATTGAAAAAGTAAGTGTTGAAAACCAAATATTATAATATTTAAAAACATTATAGTTGTAAAACACTTAAGACAAGAGGTTGATCTTATGGGATCTATCCATATTAGTGTACAATCTGGATAAGTTTTCAAACTATTTGACATGTCAGAAACTGTTGATCTACCACTCGCTATAGATTATGAGACAAAGATTGTGAGATTAAACCTTATATTCGGATTAATTAGGGTTTACAAACAATTCGAATCAAGAAGAAATCTAACTAATTATTAATTAACAAAGAAATTTTGTTCCAAGGATATCGTTAAATGTTCAAAGGTACACAAAAAAACAGAACTTCTAAGCTATAGCTATTAAAATAAATTCCTTTTTCTAGTGAATTATAATACTGGTAATATAAGGACAGATCGAAAAAAAACATCTGTCAGAATTGTTCAAAAATAAATCTACCATCGGTTAGTATTTATATTGTTTACAGACTAAAGGCCACTTTACGTGAAAGGTTTATACTACTATCTATATTAGCAAGTAGTTGAAAATTATGTGATAAAGTTTCTTGAAATTTGATGTTTTCTGTAACAAGTTTAGACCATAAAACAGGATCAGACTGTAGAGTGTCAACTGTATCTAATAATTCGACAGTATAATGATCGTTCGATAATATTTGACCAGTAGGTTTATAAAATAAGTCCAATTTTGGTGCATCATATTTTGCACCACTTTTTATATCATAATCGCTTAACATTAACTCGGGTAGTAGCTCACTTGCAGGCTCGGCATTCACACTTAAAAATATTGAAATCTTCGGTAACCATAATAACGTTTTATGACTGAAAGAATAAAGGAAGTAAACAGAAAGTAGTATCATTTTAAATACCCTTCAAATATGATCAATGCAGTAATGAAAAGAAAACAGGTAAATCATTGAATTCAAAGTAAAAGTAAGCATTAGTTATTCTAAGCTTACCTAAAACTTTAATCACAAATATCGTCTCACAAATAAGCAAAGGTCTACAGTGACCGATAATTAAAAATTCCCTTATTGTTTAGGAAGAGCCATTCATCTGGGAATCAGTCTCTGCTTACCGACCGAATGTTGCAAGCTATGTGTTATTGCTAAGGTGGTCACGAGATTACTCAAATTTTGTTAACAATGTTAAAATCTTGGTAGAAACGATAACCACAAGTACCTCCTCCCTCATAAGATTCTCTTCATGACTTTTGCCGCCCCCTAATCGATTGCCACTGCTTTTAGTTTGTTAAAATTTTGCATATTTGAGGGTTATGATATTATTACTATATATATATATATATATATATATATATATATATATATATATATATATATATATATATATATATATATATATGGAGTTGTATGTTAGTTTCTATTATCGATTTATGCAATAAAGCCAGTCGTATTACAGTGACTCGATCATTCCTAATCCTGAAGGTATTGGAGACCAGTACCGGACTTCAAATATCGAGATGTAATGGTTATAAGGATAAAAAATAAAGCTCTCAATTTAATTCAAACTTGATGTTGTCTAACAAATAGTAAGTGATATACCGAAAGCCTACTATTTCCGTCAGGTAAACTAAAACATTATCAAAATCTGTTTCGATAAGGTAGAAAGAACTGGAAAAATTCCAATGATATATCTTAATCAAAGCATTTTTTTATGAACCACGTTAGTTCAACATGATTACTCAGTGTAATATTTTGTTTGGTATAACACTGAGTTACTTCAGTGAGATAGTTATGCAAGATACAATATTAATTGAATTGCATTAAGGTGAACTATGTTCAGTATGATGTACAGTATACGATTTTGTTATAATTTTGGGCATTTTTCATATATGTGACTTTTTTCTAATCAATGATCAAATGGATGTACAGATAAATATATATAAGTATAATTCCGACTGCGACCACCGTGTCTTCAGAGTTAATAAATTTTTACTTCTACCAATCTTTTGTGTCCTCACTTCGCGTTATGGGGATTGTACTGGTTTCTTATTTTGCACGTATAAATAATAAGAGATGAGGATATTATTATTACAGTCCCACTAACCTACTTACTTAGAATCCAATTATTCTATCTAACTATCTCAGTCAATTTGTAATATACTAACATTTCCCATAAAATTTCCACAATTTCAAATATTTAAGTATTCCTTTAAAAAAAAGTCAAAAGTATGGGTAAATATAGATATACTTTTACTAAGGTCTAACTAGCTAGTGATTAATTTCTTGGAAACTCACCGAATAATGTTTACCAGGCCTTCAGTGTATGTATTCAATGGAACCAACTGTTCAAAATGTAATGGACTTTCATGAATATTCATACAATTTAAACAATTAAACTTGCAAATAACCGACCTAAAAATTGTAATTTCAATAAATACAGATATGAGTTAAATCTTACAAAAAGAATATAAATTATCTTATACAAGGAAATACTTTGATGAATGGTTTTGCTTTGCTGCCTATAGTGGTTATTTCATTGAACTTAACTTCATATATATTAGTGCCCTAACACTAGCTGGCATGTAGATAGGTAATGATGAATAATTTTAGCTTCATTTGTTTGTAACGTCTGATATAACCCCTTGCAAAATAACAGAAGATCAAAACGAAATCAGATTAATGGATAGTAGAATATACTAGTAAAAATATTCGCTGTAATTTAATCTAGTCAAAAAACGAAAAATACTTTAACACATCAAACAATATACTCAACGAAAGACAAGCACAATATATATATCTCCAAGTTTATCGACCAGTAATATCACCGCTGGGAAACCCCAAATGGCTCACATAATAGTATATATACATATCGCCGTTTTCGAACCACTTTGTGTAGTCCAACATAATATGTAAGTATCAACTCATTATTGTTAACAGTCAATGGTAAGCAATAACTTACTCATATAAAGTGATCCTCCATATATAACCTAACCCCATGGTAGTGAGTTCTTAAAAGTATTAGAATCCTTAATGTATTAATTTAAAAACAGTTCGATGAAGCTTAATGATTAAGAAACTTAGTACAATTATGGCTTGAAAATATGCCATAACTGACCCGGTGGCAAAGGTATAGTTCAGAGATGAGAGAATTGGAATTGAGAACGCGAACTTTCGATCTTAGCGCAAAATTCAAACATCACACCTAACGAGCAGTAGAAGTATATTTGTCCAGTGCTTAGGAAGTTTAAAATGGTGAAGAAAATTGTTTCTTCCTACCGTGAGGGAAAAAATGGATAATACTAAACGTATCGGATCCCCATTTCTTCCTCTGTAACTTGTATATAGGAGGAAAATAGGTATTAACCATAAATCCCGACCCAAAACCCTTAATCTTGAAACAAACCTTAATTTGTTGGCATTATAGTTCATGGACGAACTAATCAGACAGTGCCTCTTGAATTTTTTGATGAAATCCATCCATCAATATAGCTTCAGTGGATTTTTACATTATAGTTGATATTAAATAGTGACGTAAACCACAATCATAATCCCCTTGTCTTAACACTAAATCTCCAAACTGAACCAGAAACAATGTAGAACTTTTTAGAAATCTATTTGTTTTTTATTAGGTTCTAAGACTGATAGTTTATATTCATTTGGATGGATTTATAAGTTGTTGTTCTTTTATTCACAGACAGTAACCTTGTAGTGAACGAGAACACAAGTGGGGACAATTGAATGTATGAAAATACCAAATTATAGAACATAGTAAAATCTGAGAACTAAACAGTACAAACTGAATTTGCAAAATGTCAATCAATTGTTTCAAACTTGACTGTTCCTTTTGCAAATATCTGTCAATCGTTTCAGACTTCATTGCTCTTTAGTTTCCACAACAATCATTCTTTGTTTTCATTCCCTTTTCTCTGAACTTCTGAACCTTCTGCCTTCAGTCATTTCACTTTGTATTAATGATACATACTACTTATATCTGTCGACATCAGTAGCTCACACCACAACTTGTGAATGACTTTGATAAATTCACTAATTATGTAAAATCTGTTTACATATTGTAAGATGATTATTTTCTCTTCCAAAATCTATTCATTTACAAGAGTTGTTTTGCTGATTGGTTAAAAACTGATTGAAAATTTTTCGCAGTTAATTCAAGCTCAACCCTATACTATACTCTCAGCAAACTGACAATTCAAATTTCATGTAAGATTATTGCCTTTAAAAACTGTCATTTCAAAGGTACTAGATAGTCATTAAAAGAAACTACTGACAACCGTAAACAAATAATAATTGTATACTTAAATATTATTTCTTTTGTTAAGATTAAGTTATATTTGTCACGAAAGTTAACAAACCCTCTATCTGATTTTGCTATTCTTTCAATACTTAATTCTTTTAGAGTTCCATCTTCAAGACTATCAAACAGGAGAAAAACAGGAAAATACATAGAAGGGTTAAAATTTCCTAGATAAAATTTACATTTTTGAAGAATAACATAATTATTTCGTTTTAACACTGAAACAATACTTCGTTGAGTTAAAAGTTCACTGTATCACCTCATAATTTTATTTATTATTATTATTTCTTATTTGAACACATTAATATTGGTACAAAGGGGTTGGGATACTACTCGGGTGCACAGACTGAAGTAGGTGGTTTCCGTAAGGGGCCACTTCCCGGGCCTTTGTCTAATCCACAAGGTAGTGGAACACCCTTAACAGATGCTATCCCATGGTAGCTGGTGATAAACAATAGGTTCATACGTCATTTGTTTTCTTTAGAACCCTGGAGCCCATGTGACCATTGGTTTAGAATCAAGGTTTTCCAAATCCCCTAGGTGTGTCCTTCATATCCACCAACTGGACATCCGCTTTTCGTCCTCTCGATTTCGTAAACAACACCCCCGGCGCGAGGAGGAAGTGAGTAGGACTTCCCTGTCAGTGGCTGTATACGCGTGACCATGTGAAAGAATTTCGAGAGAGCTAATTCTCTCCACCTTTGGCCGTATCAGGGCATAATTTTAACTAAAATATATCAACAAATGAGCAGTTTCAGACGAATTCAAAGCTAACCAATAGTAAAATAAATATAATTTAGAATTGAAATTATAGTTAACAAATAGTTAATGAGTAATTTTGATTAGTTGTGGAGCATTAAAAGGATCAAAATCAAAGCTATACAATTATGGAATATGAAATTAAAAATTTCATACAGCGTCATTTATCCGTAATTAGATCTGTAAATATGAAATTAAAATTACAGTTAGGTCGAATGAATCTAGTTGACGGATTTTTAAAATTCTTAGATGACTACAAAACGTTATTAACTAATTAAACTGATTCAGGAACTTTGAAGGTCTTCTTTGGAAAAGCCAACATGTTATTCAATGAATGTGTTGGATAGAAGTTGTGCATTTATTTAAACAACCTTTTTATACGTTTCTACTTGGTCTAAAACTATGCTTATCAATAGTTAGCATCACTAAAACTTATTCAAACAGATGGTGAAGTTATACTCGGTTTAGAAGCCAAAATCTCTGAGCTGAAAGAATATAGATATTCTATTAAGTATTTAGGCTTCAGCTTAACACAGTGATAGTGTAATGTTAAAATAATTTTAATGTAATTATCAGTTTGGAGGTTGTGGAGATTGTTAAGTTTTTGATTGAGATCATGAACCGATTGGTGTTAGACCACCATTGAAGACCTAGAAGCATTGGACGGCCGTTTCGTTCTATTGTGTAATGTAATTATTGAAAACGATACAGTTTGAATTGATTAGCATGAAGATATCAAGGTCATTTAACAATAATCTTGGTAAAATGTTACTGAAAAACTTAATTCACAAAGAAAATGTTATATTCACCAGTTATTGAGTATAACTTTATTTTAATACTGGTGTTTTCAATTCCAAGTGAACCTTACATTCATGAGTTTAATTGGGAAAATTTTATTTTCTAGGCTACAAAATCACAACTTGGTTATCGGCCTATTTAACGAGTATCAATCTAAATATTCTTAGTTGATTAATTTGAAGACAATTTGTCATTATATAAGGACTATTATCAAATTTGAAGAAATCTTCATTTTCCATGAAGATAATAATTATCTAAAAGGGATTTAATAAACAATTCAGTCGTCAGTGAAATACGTTTTTTAACCATAGAAACCAATCTATACACAATGGAAACAAATAACTCACCTGAAACTATTGTGATACAACTTTTGTTATGTAAATTGGAGCAGAGAGAATAGAATAATTAAAGAATAAATCAATTTTACATTGTATAACACTGACATCAATACAATACCGTTTTGATATTTACTCTGTATTGGTTGAATATTTCCTAGCAACTTTTAGCGTGTTCTTATACCTATGTATGTTAAAACTTATTTTTCATTGGAGTAAACGTGATAATTATGTTAAGTGATGATATTCCATGGATGAATGAATCATATGTACATTTAAATGGACAAATACACAACCAATATTTAAGGCGTATGGGTCAGTGATACTACATAACTGAATAAATAATAGTAGATATAGTAAGGTTTTAATTCATGATCAATTTGTAGAAAGTCACAGAAATCCATATACATAAAAATACTGAGACCAGACTCAAACACAAGTTAAGAAATCTACAAACTAATAGGTTTTCGGATGATAGCTCTTTGTTTACATTTATGAAGTTTGAAAAATAATTATTGGTAAAATTATATAGAACTGTGATTTGTGAGGCCTACAAATGGCTTTTTAAAGACTCAATTTAAATTAGAAACTTAATTAATAAGGCTGCTTACTCTCCCTCTTTCTCTTTCTTCTGATGGTTGACTAGATTATGAAGACCTCCACATCACAGGAAAAGCACGGAATACAATAGACAGCTTGAATGAAGCTAGACGATTTGAACCTCACAGATGACCTAGTTCTTCCATCCTATGCACATCAACAAATGAAGGTGAAGACAGACAGTGTAGCAACAGCCTCTGCATCGGTAGGCCTCAACATACACAAGGGAAAAAGCAAGATCCTCAAAAATAACACAGGGAATATTAACCCAATCACACTTGATGGTGAAACTCTGGAAAAAGTGGAAACTTCCACGTACCTGGACACCATCATCAGCGAACAAGGAGAATATAATGCAGATATAAAGGTAAGGACTGGCAGAGCAAGGGAAGCATTCCTACAATCGACGAACATATGGAACTCAAAACAACTATCAAACAATATTAAAGTCAAAATATTCAATACGAACTTCAAGACAGTTCTATTGTATGGAGCTAAAACGTGGAGAACTACCACAACCACCGTTAATAGAGTACAATTATCTACACAAGACACTCAATTTCCTTCGTTGACCGGATACCACCTGCAACAGCCTACTGTGGGAGAGAACAAGCCAGTTTCCAGCTGAGGAGGAAATCAGGATAGAACATACATTATGGAAATCACCAAGCCGTAACTTGGAATTCTCAAGACAAAAGGAAAAGTGGAAGACAAAGGAAAACATTGTGTTAGGAATCGGAAGCAGATATGAAAAGGATGAATAGTAACTGGAAAGGTCTGTCTATGACAGAGTTCGATGGGGAATGGTAGTGAATGGCCTATGCTCCTCTACGATGTGTATCAGGCGTAAGTAATTGTGTAAGAATTAGAACTTTCATTTTGTTCTATACACTATGTTAACTCGAATACAGATTAAAAAGTACCATTGTAGTACATAAATTGTCATAGATCCAAAAGTATTATAGACAACTTACGTAAACGAAAAAAGCATAAAAGTCTTCCGAATAAAGTATATTAAAATTTTCAAGAAGTCAACCTACCTTAATTTTGTTAAACTGCATGTTAAATCCTGATAGTCAATAAAACCATTCTTATTTTTATCAAGCAATCTTGTAATGACATCAATTTCAAACTTTGTAAGTGGGCAATTCAATGATAACAGAGCTGTTTAACATAATACAATTTAAAAAAATAATAAAACACGAACAAACCAGCCTTAAAATCATCATAAGTAAAGTTGAAATCTGAGTAGTGGGCTGTTAAATGAAGAAGATTTTTTAATTGCTCTGCATGATATTTTATCCACAAATTTGAACGCCTTAAAAAGTCAATGTACTTTTCCTCATCTGCACAAAATTTGTCTATTTTAGCTTCTAACACTGTCTTTCAATGCTATTTAATACATAAAGTACTAACATACCTTCTTTTTCCTAGAAGTCTTCAATCTTTCTCCACGCTTTTTTCCCGATTTAACTCTTTTCTTCTTAGGCATTTATCTTATTTGAAAATTGTAATCTGAAAACTTTTAAGTGATTCTCATAGATCAAAAATAATAGAGATTATTGACCATCACAGCAGAAGTAGATTGTCTAAAATGGTGGAGAAAAGAAATAGGGAATTTTATAGATCAATGAAGCCTACTTAGGATAACTTAGAAGGATGATCGGATAGTCCTTTAATGATTTTCAGACACATTAAAATTATAATAATAATTTAAAGGCTAATCAGTTGAAATGAATGGTCAATGTTTTTAGCTTCTTTCTCAAAATGGTCTATGGATTTAATTCTAATCGTATAATGCTAAAGCCATACTTTCGGTCGAGAGAAGAAATAGGAAAACATTTTTACATAAGATACTGTATGAATGAAAATAGTCACTTCTCTTCAAGATGAAGGAACGGAAAAAAGGGTACACTCGAAGCGTATATAGCTTGTCGATGCATTTGACAGTAAACGTTTCACAATTAAATCGGTTAATCAATATATACCAACTTAAGGTAAGTAAAACTAATATAAGTTCATATCTGAAGATCATTTAATATCAAGAGTTTTTTATACGAATAGCCTGGGGATATTCACTAAGAAATTGGATTTCCGTCATTTACAACAGCGATAAAAAAAGTCCTGTAGAGTAAACTATTGTAATTTTCAGGCCATTAACCACCATCTAAGTACAAATGACATCCTCTAGTAAACAATTTAACCATACTCTAAAATATAATATGGAGAATCTTTCAAATGAATAGTTTTGGAATATAATATCTAGCGATGATGTGGTCGTAATTAATATTATGTACCGAAAGCAATAAATTTGGCAAAAAGTATATTTTGAACAATGTAGTTTTTATAAACAAACTCGTAAGCTAAACTCATTAGTTTCAATTCGTAATGAAAATTTGACAGTCTGGGACACTCAAAACGTTGTAAAATAAATACGCTTGTACTCAGTTGCGTTAAAACATTTTCACTGAACAGTAAATTGTGCCAAAGCTTGTTTTCAGCATAATATACACAACATTTGAGAGCAGACAAATTGTATGGTGGTATTCAAATTAGGACAGATACTTAACAGATGAAGTTTTTGAAATATATGAAATTGTAAAACCTTTTATGATCTGTAATAAAACAAAGTAGGTATACATTGCCATTAAAGTTGATAATCAGCGTTATATTTTTCAGTTGCCATAAAGATATGAATTTATAATATTATGGATTTTTCAAGAACCAAAAAAGCAGATAATTCTTGAGTGACGGGGTATGGAAGTGTTCAGAACATAAGTATGTTTAACTGAACGATATACGAGTAGAGGGGAAAAGGACTAGAAATGACCAGATAAAGATATTGTTTTAGTCCCTGAAAGTCCTATTTTTTGACTTGAAGCTAAAACGGACTGAAGATACCATGAAATTTGTTTTATTGAAGGCGAGTTGTTTAATTTATTCTCTAACAGATGTAGGGTTTTATTATTATCTCTTACTATCAATTTCCCGAGTTTATTTGTCCCTTTAAAACTACGTCTTCAGTTTTTAAATTTTCAACGTCACTGTTAGTATAAATCTAACTATTATCTTGTTGAATTTGTGCCACTGCGATCACCAAAAGTGACAAATTCGAATGACGCACAATTTTGTGTTCAACCATCCGTCATTTGAAATTAGTTCAGTAATTTCTATCTAAAGACATGATTCTTAAAACCAAGAAAAGAGAAAGGATGTCCTGAATGTACCTAGATTGTTTATGTTGGCTTTATATATATATATATATATATATATATATATATATATATATATATATATATATATAACAGGCGTGCCTTGCCTGCATAAATATAGCATTTAGTTTGAACAAGTGCTTCCTGAACGGAACCACGTCAACAATTGTCTGTCTGCAACCAGAATAAACGGTCAAGTAAGATCTCCAAAAGGCAAGTACATTCGCCGCTGTTTCATCATTGTTACTGCCTACGCCCCTACTGTCTGCAGTCCAGATGAAGTGGATGAGTTTTATCGAGGGCTTTCTGACTTCTACCAGAACACTCAGATGCAGTAATCGTTGGCGATAATTTTGATGCATAAGTAAGTAGACTAAGTTGGTCTTAAAGAAACTTAGACAGGTCTTTCAATGCTTTGGTTCATGGAACTGCATGTCTCAAAATATGCTCAGACAACAGTTTATTTTTGGTAAATTCTATCGTTAGGTATGAGAAAAGATATTAATTAGCTAAGTGACTAACAATGTGATTACCAATATAGAAACGGACAGGCCATATGACCATTATTTGCAATTGAAAAACTAAAATTGAAGATTGCTGCCTCTCTTGGAGCACGTATATATACTACAATCAAATTCTGCCGAAAGCAAGTACCTCATTAATTTTCACTGGAGGCAGAAGCGTCACGAAAAGATTACTCAGAGCTCAAGTAAATGATGAAATGTCAGAAAGTATGTTCCAGAAACAACTAGAGGACCACGTAGTCAGTTACTAAGGTGACGATCAGTCTGATTTAGTCTGATATAATATACGAACATATGTGAGATGGATACTGTCATCTTTCGTCGGATTAAATCAAAGTTTAAAAAATTAGTGAATTTCAATGACATTAACTGAATTAATATATGTTTGTACACCTGCACGATCACGCTTCAGGCAAAATAAAGGCTAAAGGCAGCTTGAAAAGCTCCCGACCAAAATTTGTAGGTTAGTGGCAAGTGGTAGAGGTCGATAAAAACAGGAAAGTTGAGAAAGACAGTGGCAATTGATAGAAACAGATCTTTACCTAATTTTTTCACAGAGATGACATAGTTTTATGTTGCTTTGAGGAACGATCTAGCAGAAGATTTACTTACTGACTTAGACTATGCAGACAAAACAGTTCTATTTCTAAAGACCCTGAAATTATATGGATTATTCTGAACACCTTGTGCAACAATTGATTTATTAGTGACATGTGTTCTTCTGACTAACAGTTCACCCTACTGTTCTCTACTCTATAGTCGTAAAACACAACCTTCTAAAGTAAGCGTTATATCATTGGTACTACTATTGCTTTGACCACTTTATTACTCTTCTTGATACATCAATTTAGTTGATCAAATTTGGAATGACAACTTAGGCTAATGAATATTTGTGTCATGCCCTACATTGATAATGACTTCTCAAACTAGAATATCAAAATTGACACAAAAAGCTGTGAATCTATGTCCCTAGATAACAAGATCATTAATTCCTCAAAATACAATTTCCTTTACACATAAAATAAAAATTACTTATAATACATGGCCTTAAAACAATGAACAGTTTCAAACATGCCATTTTCTGTTAAACGAACTTCAAAGACTACTCAGTTCTTGTTCCACAACGTGGTGCTTGTCCAGTAGTATTTTAGTTATATGAAGGCAATCAGTAGGCTACTTAGTCTAAAAACACCGGGACATGCAAACTGAACATTGGTGATAGTAGTTACCAGTATACAGATTCCGTAGCAGTTTGGAAATATCAAATAGTTTAACTGATAGCTTCTATATATCTGACGGTACCGTTCCTGATAACATTAATTACAACTTTTGTTTGCTTTATTATGCAAAGTCTCATTCTGGCAGTCGGCATAAGATAATTACAAAACTTTTAAGTATTTACCAAATGACATACAAAATGTCAAGAACTATAGCTAGCAAGAGAATCCTCACTTAAAACGTATTTTAGACGCCATGTTATTACGTTTCGCATACAACATCTGGCACTATAACATCAGACAAACGTTTTTATGCAGTCTAAAAAGAACTGCGGATTCAACGTCGTGGATAACACAGGGTCGGAGGAAATGACTGATCACACTTCTTAAGTGAGTTGGTCCTCACAAATAAATTTATTGACACACTATGAGGTATGACACCTGGTTTCTTAATGTTAGCATCAAGCCTTTTAAAAACTTATTGATCAGACCTATAGATTTGTTGATTTATATTCGCGACTACTACATTCATTTTCCCATACTGTAGATGTGGTGTTTTGTGATATATTTAAGAATAAAACTGATCACGTAAGAGCCTTTGATTTCCCTAACTGGTCTTAAATGTAGCAAGCACGTTCAACGTAGCTGTATAACGTATTTAGTAGACTAGACCATGGAGCCTAAAATGTATTATAAATGTTCTTCATTACACTCATCTAGCAGCTCATAAATAAATATTATACGGATGTCAGACCAAGTTTTCATGTTCAGTATTTAGTGTAGAATTCGGTGGTAAATGTGCTGAGGAAGAGGAACAAGCATGTGTAAATTAAAGTTGTGGAGCGATTTATAAAACTATTTTGTGAAATGTCCTTTCTTCTGCACTATGCCTGAGAAATTTAGTCCTTATATACATAAGTCATTGTGTTAGCACCTCGCATTTTCCCACAAGTACTCATTGACTGTGTCCTGTGTAGTCTTGTTTCAGATATTTATCGTACTCCAATAAACGTTTATGGGAGTACACATGTAGTCAGTGCACACTGACTAACTGTGTAATATAAAAACTCAAATAGCGATAATTCAATAAACGGACATAGAAATTTGCTATAAATCTTTAATCACCGTCACTTAGATCACCAAAGATAATTGACATTTTTAAAATGAGATGTACAGACAGATACTAATAACCATATCTGTTGATGAATTTTAACAAAATTATAACTGTTTGTTCTCACAGAAAAGTTAAGTTAAATATTTAGGTTTTTGTATAAGCAGAAACACGTGGCTTGAGACGCTCAGTTCTGCGAACATCTGTGGTATTTATGAGTAGTAATGATTCCTTTGTACTGGATTGCCCTCTGATTACGAATTCCAAACACAATACTTTCATTTATACTCATCCAGTTCTATCTGCTTTAGACTGCACTATTCCGAGAATTCCCAGTTATATTAATTGGAATGCTTCTAATTATCATAATGACGTTGCGAACTAGTCAAATCTTTGACAGTGAGATATTAATTCTATTGGGAACTTAT